CGTCGAGGATGATCTTGTCGTCTAACGGAGCGGTAATCAACTCGAGCTTGCCGGTAACCTTGGAGCGGATAATGCAGAAAAAGTTGGAGGCGCCAGCCTCGGTCACGGACGCGTCTGGGCCGAACAGCCATAGAATTTGATCGTAGCCACGGATCTGGGCCTCCTTCTGCGCCATCAGAGAAGGTCCGTAGTTGGCACCAACCTTGGCATATCCGAATCCCCCTGGCCAGGCGCGGATGCTGTCCTCAGAGCTAGCAAGGAGCTTCATGGGGTTGTCCAACTTGGGGAATAAAGCCATGATGATGTAGAAGAAGGCCTCGCGAGGCTTCTGGACTATTTGAAAAGTCAGCTGGAGCTCGGCATGCGGCGCACAAGATACTTACCGCCAAGGGCGCGCCCAGCACCGATCATGGTGGGGCGGATGTAAATGAAAGTTCCAGGCTCAGGGAGCCACTTCTCAGCATCAACGGACAGCAGAGCCTTGATCAGCTCCTCCATAGCACTCGGGGAGAAGCCAGGACATGAAATGCGGGTAGAAGAGACCAAGAGGCGAGCAGTGTTGCGAGATGGGCGGAACAACCGAATCTTGCCATCGTAACCACGGTACGCCTTCAGTCCTTCAAAACATTCGGTGGCATAGTGCAGGCAAGAAGCTGTCGGCCAGAGGTCCATACGGGTGTATGGGCGCAGCTCGGGAGCATGCCATCCAACAGTATCGGTCCAACGAACTGTGATCCAGTGGTCGGTAGTTGCATCCGCTCTGCCCCATTGCGAGGTTTCTGGTCTGTAGTAGGGCTTGGGAGAGTTGGTTATGGTGACCTTCAACTTTGAGGAGTCAAGTTCGGCGAGCGCTAGTTCACCATTGGAAGCTTTAGCGGGGGTGGGCGAAGCAGTAGAATTGTTATCCAAGAGGGCATATTTGACCGCCACGGTGGTGAGGTCGGCGACAATGGGTGCGGGTGGGGCCATGGCTTGAAGTGGATTGAGTTTGACTCAGGCGGCGGGAGGCGGGTCTGACTGCTGGCGTTCTGTCTGAGAGGGGGCAGTTCTGGTCTTTTAAGTGCTTGTAGTTCAACAATGCCGTTAGCTCCGAGTGCGAGCAACCTATTGAACGAACATTCCCACCCTGAGCTGGGACTCGGGGGCCGTCTAACCAAACTGGTGCACTTCAAGCGAGTGGGATTCAAGCCTCCGGTATGTTTCCCCACCAGCAGCTCCGGAGGGAGTCACAAACTCATGATCGTAGCCCAGCCGCCTGCCCGTCTGGTGGAGTTGTATGTAGAATATATCTTGCCTTCCTTTGAAGTCGGTTTATCAAGGGGCTACATAGATTGATTGAGCAAAGACAACGGTATGTGCGGATATGTATGACACAAGACATGCACCTTGCATGGGCGCTGCAACACGCGCGCCGGGTGTAACCGTCGGTACCCGGCCAGCAGGGACAGCTTTTTTTTTTTCTTTTTTTTTTTTTCTGCCCCGCGTGGAGATGTTGTCAGTTCGGTTATCCGGTACAGAACCCGATACATAGGAGACAGCCGTGGGCGTGATGAGTGGACAGCTGCGGCTTCGCAGCATACCGAAACAGCTTCCTCCCGCAACCTGCCGCACCCCCCCCCCCCCCAAAAGTTCCGCAACGTGTACCCGTGCACATCGCTTTCGTTGTCTCGGCCGCGTTGAACCGCAGAACCCAGCCACATGATCTCTTGACCTCAGAGATTTTTGCGCTGCCCTGGTCATCTTATGCTTCAAACCCACCTCTGCTTATCGGCAGCTACATCGTGGAATTCCAGAAGCGGGTCATGGGAGCCAAGACTCTGACGACCTGAAACGACTCGGAGATGACCCGTGGATTTGCAACGGAAGGAATGGAGATCAATTTACATGCTGCCGCTTTCCGCAACGTGCACTTGCAAACATCTTTTGTGGGGCAGTGATGACTTTGGTAAGTATATGCACTGCGGTAGGTATAGGCGTTGAGACTCACTTGCAGTTGCCGTCGTGGACAGCGTGTGCGGGAAGCCTGATGACAGTGATCTTTACAAACCAACCAAAGTCGACAACCAGACCGCACTGTGAGCTTTTATACGGAACAGGGGCCCACTCTCCATCGGCGGGTTGGCCGTGGAATGCTGCAAATAACCAGCCGCTCAGCGTATTCGGTGGCGCCGTCGTCTGTCGGTATATACCTATCTTGGGGACCTTGGGTGCCAAATAGTGTTATTCAGCGGCTACGCGCTAATAATTTGCCGCTGTATATTTGACGCCCTTCCAGGCTAACTAGAATCGAGAAACTGGGTTGGTATTCCACTGCCCCTGCACGTATCGGACAAGAGGATTTGGAATACGATGCTCGGGGATCGCTGCGGAGAAGAAACACCCGCTGGCATATGTAGGTATAGCCGGCAGACCCATACATACTTCTCGCAGGTCATAACATAACATTCGGGAGTGAGTGGTGGGGGTAAGAGTCATCAATAGGGGGATTCACGGTTCAGAATAGAACCGGTCTATTCTGACTTCTATGCGCGCCTAAACCAGACTAAACCTCGTAGAATAGAATGAACCGTGAAACACCTCTTTTGCGAGCAGTTCATTCTTTTTTGTACACTAGTTCCAAACGTGGAATAGTCGGTATGGCTTGGCACCTGAAGCGCCTTGGCGTTTTTTTTTTTTTTTTTGCTCCTAGCCATAAACAGTTATGGCGCACTTTGTTAGCGTTAATAGAGGGGAGCATAGAATGCAGCAGAAGCTCCTGAGCTCCTTCGTGAATTTTCTATTCTGGCGCGCTTCGTGCGTCTATTAGCCTTAATAGAAGGGCTCATTTTACGCTAAAACTGTCTATTCTCAACCGTGAATCCCCCTAATGGCATCAATGGCAACATCAACAACTCCGAATGCTCGCGTCCGGATACATCTAGGTACCTAGTCTGATGCTTTCTCGCCCGCCCAAGAATACCTTTGCTATATATACCTGTGCATACAACACCCTAAATTTTGCCAGAATACGATCGCAAAATGGGGCAGCATAGAGCTCCACAATCACTGACAGCTTGAAGGACATCTGCTCCCTCTTAAAATCGTGTGTACATGTGTAAAAGTATCTATTAAGCTACCTGGCCAGACGAGAAGAAAAAGGGTAAAAGAAGTCTCTGAGTCTGAAGCTTCTCGGTTCTGTCGAACGCTATTTTGAATCCCTCATTATATATCCGCTTCTCCTCGCTGCACAAGTTGTGGCTCGATGGGATTGAGAGAATTCATCTCTCTCCTCTCCTACAGTGTACATCACCCAGCCAGATGGTATCCGAAACTCAAACAAAAATAGCGAGGTCGAGACAACTGATGTTGGCAGATACTCCATCAAACGGAACCTACACTACGATGGACTCCCATCATTCCCTTCAAACCGCCAGCCGCAGTGGCGATGGATCGACGAGGCGATTTTACCGCTACTGCAGCTGCACCGATGAATCAATGGACAGTCGCCGAGGAGATAGCGCGTACTTCCCCTCTCCACGTGATGGATTGGGGTCCTGACATCATAGGGAACTGCCTCCATCTCTTTCCCGAGATCAAAGGGGTGATCGTAGTCACCGACAACACCGAAACGCATGCCGGGATAGAGCAGAGCGCATATGTCCTCGCCGTTCCGCTCAAGGAGTCCCCGCCGCTGGCATTGCTACCAGTTCACAATCCTGCGCCGCCGCCGATGACTCTCTTCCACCAGCCGGACGACTTGGCTCTTCCATATCTGGAGAGTGGGCCGCCGCCGCCGCTGTATGACTACAGCAACAGGCATGCAAAAAGACAGCCGCGTTGCGAGGCGTACCAACTACCACCAATGGCGCCAATACCCACGCTACCTCTCAGTGCTTTCCCTGAGCGTTTTTACGCTCAGGACGAGGAGCCCGAGTACCTGGAGCTCCTCGGTGACGCCGACCCAGGGCCATACAAGATTCTCCTACAATGCCGTGCGATACCCATGCGGGGGGGTAGCATCGATAGCCTAATAGCCGTTTTGGAGAAGACCCAAGACATGCTTCAGGAACACATCGACCGCTTGCATAAGTATGGAGATCGGCTTGAGGGCGTTGCCATGGGAGCGGATGCCTGCTCTTGCCCTCAGTGGTATCACCCAGAAACACCCGAGTTCACGGAAGAGGATAGGAGGGAGTTGAATAAAAGACAGCCTGTATACACCCCGGTGGAGCCGAACCCCGTGCGCGATAGGGAGGAGTTGAAGAGGCCGTGGGAGGCTAGAGAGATGACGGAGTGGGGTAGGGCAGCGGATGTGAGGAGCTGGTTTGGCGCTGTTGTGACTTGAGGGTGATGGCTGCATTGAAGTTCGCTGTTATTGAACGTTTTGTCAATTATCTCTCGGTCGACTGAAGTTGGTTCTCTCCTGTCGAACCGGTTGAACGCCAATTCATCAGCAAAACACTTTCTCTCTCTAAGCTCCAAGCTGCAAGGGTTTCTTTCATGTTGTGTGACCGAGCTCCGAGTGAGAATGCCATGTTGCATATCCGAGTGATTCACAATGATGCACAGTGATGGGGCGACTCAAGCACTCATCTCAATCACAAGGCGAGAATCCGCGAATGAAGATTCATCCATCGGCTCTGTGTGTACCTTCGTGGATCGCATATGTGATGTACTTATGTAAACATGGGATGACTGTGATATGTATGGTATCGCTTTTTTGATCGGATGGTGGGAGATGCCAAACGGAAAGAATATCCTACAGCTCAAATAGACTCTCATCTAAGATACATAAGTATTTAAGGGCCCGTTCAGGGGCAACCGGGGTTTTTTTTTTTTTTTTTCAGATCGAAGGAATAGCGTCAAGCCAAAATCGTGATTTTGCGAGCTGAAACTGGGGGCGCCGAACAGGCTCAAAGGTTCGAATCTTGGAACCCACACTCAAAAGCATAACGTCGCTTGCCAACCAACCAACCAACCAACCAACCTCCACCGGCAAAAAACACAGACACAAAAAATGAAGCTCTCGGCCGGATTTGAACCAGCGATCTTTGCATTTCATCCTACTTTGAGTTTGTACAAGTGCAACGCCTTAGCCACTTGGCCACGAGAGCGTTTTTTGTTTCGTTCATTGTTGCTCGATGTCAAGTACTCAAAAGTGCATACCTTACCCTAAGCACTGTTTGTGCCGCTGGTGAGAACGGCTGGCTGGTGGTGACGTTGGGGTCGCTACTTTGCGACCCGAGAACGTCACCGCTAGCACTTAAGAGGGGATCCGAGTGGCACCGCCATTTATGAACGGCAGGAAGGGAAGGGGCGGCGGATGCAGCAGAAGGTATGGTGGGCGGCACAAATACTCACTGGCAATCACTCTTAACTGTCATGACTGGTCGTGCCGCCTAGGAAGGGCGTGGCATGTGCGGTGTAAGTGTACCGCACGTAGGAAAACATTCTTCTGCGATTCTAGGTATTCACGATCCGGGATTCATTATTTGCGCAAACCAAAACTGCCGAGTGCTACACCACATGGGCATGCACGGTATCTATTTTCTCAAAGCATGAATATACAAGCCGGTGTCACGTATAACCTCGTCATCCAACTTCCGAGTGAAACAAGCCGCCTTTGGATCGTCCTCTTTCAACTTGCGTATTTCAAAGTGACGCAGGATCTGCGTGATCAGCTAATTATACTACGACGTGATTGGGCGTTGCACTCACCTCTAGGGTCTGCTTGTATAGCACCATCAGGCCCATCATCTTTCCTGGGCACACGCGCGCGCCGTAGCCAAACTGGAAGTCATACTTGTTCCACTGCAGCAGCGTCTCAGGGGACGCCTCTAGCCAGCGCTCGGGACGGAACATCTCTGCGTCCTCGCCGTACATTGACTTTGTGCGATGGGTAACCCATGGAGTAGCGGAGAGGTGGGTACCCTCGGGAACGAACTGGCCGGCAATGGTAAGGCCGCCCTTGGGGGCATACCGCGGCATCATGCCTCGAGTAGTCTCAGCGCCACGCAGTGTCTCCTTGAAACAGGTGGAGAAGTAGGTCAGGTTCTGGCATTCTTCGTAGGTGGCAACTGGACTGCTCAAGCGTCCAGCAGCCTCGGCGGCAGCGATCTCGTCCAGAATTTTCTGGTAAGCGCCCGGATGAGCCAGGACGTTGAGGAGGAACTCAATTGTGATTGCGGCGGCTGGCTCTGCACCGCCAATCCTAGCTACGAGTTAACGCAGTACTTGGAAGCTGGGTTTAGAATACTTACAGCAAAATGCGGGCTTCGGATGCTAGTCGCTCCATTCCCATCGTCTGTCCATCCGTGCTCTTGGTGTCATGCATGATACGAAGGGGCGTCTTTTCTCCGCCCGGGGGATTGACCTCTTCCGAGAGCGTGAGCCTTTTTGCCTCCTTCGCCGATTAGCATGATCCAAAACACGAAGCAGACGTACATACCGCCATCAGATAGCCAAAACCACGGTCTGGATACCGGCGAGGCAGAATATAGTATCCCAGAAAAGTGTTCCTGAGCAGCCACAAAAAGCTAGGAACTAACGCTAGTAGGTGATGCATGAGCCTGGAAACACTGGCGCCCTTGATGATTTCGTTGACATCGCCATTCTTGGCCATGAAACCGAACGGCCGGCCGAATGTCAGGTCTGACAATAGGTCGTACGCCATGTACCTATACGTGTTAATTCGTGTAAGCAGAGGGAGTATGGAGGCTTACATCAATCTGTTGTTGAAATCCTTAACCGGTCCGCTCTTCAAGAACACCCTTCTGTTCAATTCGGTCCAGTCTACGATCCACTGATCCATCTTTGGCTCAAGACTTCGCACATATGCGGGAGCATACTGCGGCAGGGTCAGTGATGTCCCTGCAAGTCCAGTCTCTACATACCGCTGGAGAAATCCGCTTCCTAGAGATGGTATGTTCCGTGGATGGCAAACTGGTAAACGTCGTTTTGTCTCCGATAATCTGGGTGTAAAACGGCGTCTTGTCGGCATAGCGGTGGTAAATCTCCGGGAGCGCAGTTGGATCGCTGACGATGAGGAGATTCGGTCGGTATCGCACAATTGGGCCTTGAATTGATTGTTAACCTTAGATCTCCGAGGGACAAAAGAATCTTACCATATTTCTTGTGCAGTTCGTGATGGATGAGATATTGCTTCCCACTCCAGTTGACCTGGACCGAGTAGAGATTGGTGATGCTGCCCCAAAACGGGCCGGGGAATTTGGCCAGCGGGTGCAACCATCGCCTGTGGATGATTGTTCCCACAACGCGCAGGAGAATAACGGAGAGAATTGCTGCCTTCCAATGCTCTGAAAGGTACTCGATCGCTGCAGAGCGCAGCGGCATCCACTCCATGTTTCCAAAATTCGTCTCCACCGACTGCTGTGGATTGAATCCGTGGTGAGGAGGTAAGTAGGCATCAGAGAAAGACGGGCTTTGTTAAAGAAGGGCTGGTGTCACCCACCAACCAACGTACCCACCAATATACGCGTGAAGAATTTTAACCGGAGGACGGCGCAAGCTCCCAATCTGGCCTGCATATTCAAGGCGGCTTCAAGATCACGGCGAGCTGAAGTGTCTCACAACCCCGCACTCGCGGAGGCGCTAGGTCGCAGCGGCAAACACCAGAAACCTGCTGGCTCGCGCACGTGCATCGCCGGCCTGCAGCTCCCAGGTCAACGAGGCCCTTTCAGCTGAGGACCGAAGCGTGCACCTGCCAAGGAAGTGTCTGTCCGAACTGAGGTGTTTCAGGTCTCCGCAATTGAGCTTGCAAACGCCACCATCGGGATTTTGACCCCGCAGAAAATTTCAGAGCAAAACTTCATGCAGCTAGCTCAGAAAAGCGCCTAGCTACATGCACTAAGTACCTGCATGCAGAGTTATCTGGCGGCTGTTACATAAACATAGCACATAGTAAGCTGCTCATCCCGCATCGATGGGCATCTTTACCCGTTACAGCCATTCTAAAGCTAACTTCCTCCGTCAGATGCGATTGGCCGGAGTTCTTTCCAAGTTTGCCGCGCTGTGTCGCGCCCGACGAAGCTCTCAATTTTTTCATGCTGGTGACGACCGAGGTCGCAGGTTGACGTGGGTTGTCCGAGCCGTGTTGTTATCCCTGAGTGTTTTCACAGATCGCCGTGCAGCGGCGATCTTGATGGCCAGGACATCCCGGCGCAGCCAGTGAGGTAGTGATGTACCTATTGAGATACTGCCATCCTCGAAAGCTTGCGTGCAACGGACGTCTCTACACCCATCATGTCTCGTCCGGCCATCCACCTCAGCGTAATCGATGCGGACGCTACCCACACAGCGCTCAGTATCGTGGGCCTTGCGGTCGCCGCCTTCGGTCTGCTCGTGGTGTATCGCCGCTTTTTCCACCCGCTCGCTCACTTTCCAGGTCCCTTCTGGGCCTCTGTGTCGAGCCTGTACGGCGTGTGGGCGTTTGTGTCTGGCGGAGAACATCTAATTCATCGTGGGCTGCACGAGAAATACGGTTTGTCCGATTTTGTACTTGTTTGGATGCAATCTAATCTGGAGTGGAGGACCGGTCGTCCGCTTCGGCCCAAATGAACTCATTGTCAACGACCCGTATATGCTGCCGTTGATCTACCATCGCAAGGCCGACAAAACGGAGGTGTATGCGCCAAACTTTGGCATCGAGACGGTGTTTACATGGTTGCGACACCAAGATCATGTTGCTGCGAAGCGGAGAATCGCGCACGCGGTGAGTAAACGTCTGGTACTGGGAGATTGAGTCGCGCTGATGATGGACACAGTACTCACTGCTATCAATCAAAAACCTCGAAGAATACATCGACGAATGTCTTGCGCAATGGATATCCGCCCTCTCTGACATCTCAAAGGACCCCTCCAAACCGATCAATTTCGCCCGTTGGGCAGAGTTCGCACCCCACAGCCTTCCCCCTTACTATCAGAGAATCTAACGGACTAGATGGTTTACCTATGACGTGATCAGTTACCTCTCCTTCGGCGAGCCTATCGGCTTCATCGCGGCACGCGCTGACGTCCGCGATCTGATTAAGAATTACTCTGACGCCTCGATGCTGTTGGAGATTCTGGCTCTGCTACCGAAGGTGTCGTGGTGGATGCGAAAGACATGGGTGGGGCGAAAGTTCCTGATGGCTAAAGCTGGAGATCGCAAGGGTGTGGGCGTCATTATGGCCGAGCGGGACAGAATATTTGAGAAGCACACACGAGATATGGAGAAGGGTGATGGGTCGAAGGGAATTCTTTTGACAAAGTTTGTTTGCTATCCCCACTGCTTTTTCTACGATACTGACAGCGGCAGGTTCATCGCTGCAAAAAATGCAGATGGTACACCGATGTCCACGGACGACGTCAAGGCTGAAGCTCTGCTGGCAATGTACATACCAACCTAGATGTTTCCCAGCAAGTCCGCAACTAACATTCTCAAGGATTGCTGGCTCTTCCACCACCTCGAATGCCCTGGTTCGCCTTATCTTCAACATCCTCCAACACCCGTCTTGCCTCTCCAGGCTCACTGCTGAACTCGATGCCATCACCCCAACCCTCACGAGCCCAATTCCCACTTTCGAAGAAGCTCGCACTCTTCCGTTTCTTTCCGCATGTATCCGCGAGACCTTCCGATACTCACCCAGCACTGTGCAGTTCCCCCGCGTCTCAGATGGACTCGAGTTGAACGGGAAATGGGTTCCAGCCGGAACGTCGGTCTCCGCTAGTCCATGGATCATGCATAGGAACAAGGAGATGTACGGCGAGGATGCAGATACGTTTAGGCCTGACCGGTGGCTAGAAGCAAACGCAGAGACGACCGCCCTGTGGGACAAGTATGATTTTCGATGGGGATATGGGGCACGCAAGTGCCTTGGGCGGAACATCGCACTGATGGAGATTTATAAGGCGACTATACTGGTAGGTACCCCGAGCGGTGAATTTTGCACTTTGATAGAGTTCTGACTTTTGCAGTTCTTCAAACATTTCAGGCCCGAGCTCGTTGAAGAGATTGGGTTCACGTCGTCTGGCGGACCGAAGTCAACAACGCTGTATATCCATCCAAGAAATTGAGTGGACTGGCGGGAAGCAGTAGTTAGCAGTGAGCATAGTC